CAGGAAGTTGTTGTTGCTATGGAAACAACGTGACGGAGATTAACGGAGAAAAAGTAATATCTACATATAAAGACGGAGAAAGTAAACGATAACGTTTATGGTTAAGTGTTAGCACCCCCCCCCCCCCGAAGAGGCACAAGCTCTTACGTTGATATTGGAGTTTTCAATACATTCAAATAAAAATAAAAACGAAACCCGAATAGTACTCCAACGAACGAATATTCGGGTACAGCCCTAACTTCTACTCCACCAAAGTTCAGAGGGAAAAAGCAACTTGGGGCCCCAAGCGACATTGTGAGATGAGCCCCCCCGCCCCCCAAACGACAGGAGTGGAAGAAAAAACATTTGGAAACAAAGTAGGCTACTTTGAAAATACAATTCCTGTTTATTATTATTATCAACACAGTTACTTTTGTATACAGTGAGATAAATGATAAATGTGCATGTATGTCGTTCAGTATGCGTTTACAGGTGAATACGTCTGCATTTCCTGCCAAATAATAGCCTCAAAAAGATTAAAATATAATTAATTAATGCAAATAAACTACTTCTACTAATAATAATAATCATAATCAATTCAATAATATAAATACTATATTATTTTATTATAATATAGTTGTAATATAGTCAAGACAAAACATGCTTATGACATGCTCAAAAACTGATATTTCTTAAATCTGTATTCTAGTTCCCTCTGTCAGCAATGTATCAACAACTACACACACATTTCTATCAGTGTTTCTCTGTGTTGTGGTTGACATGATGATGACTGTTAGGAGTTAAGGGGAGAGGCTGAGCGTCACCATGAAATGTGCAAATTGACATAAAAATGAATAAAAGGGGAAAAAATGCTCCATGTTTTTTAGGCTATAAACTTTAACTGTTATGTAAGCCAACTAGACAGACAGTGTATCACTCTTCCTCCTGTACATTATCAGATAAAAGGCATCACATACTTGAATGAATGGTAAATAAAGAATGCTGGAAATAACTGCATCTCCATTAGCCTGTATGCTATGCAGAGACTGCCTTCTTCATGTCGTGAATTGCAGCTGATGTTTTAATATGGCAATTGGCAATTTGTCTTATACAACATTCGCAAGTTGTACATTTGACTCATACAATAACCCACCTTCGAGTGATGCTCTAGTTTCTTCATGTTTTGTTTTTTTTCCCTCTTGCTTGCGCCGGACTGAAACTGTCTTTTCACCGACATCTCTTCACCTGCACTAGTGGCCGTATCAAAGCCGTGATTGGTCAGATGTCGATCCATTGCAACGGTGTCGGGTTACAGGCATGCTCCCCTTGTCACCTCTCACTCTCGCGGGGGTGCGCAGAGAACTGAGCGGAGAACTGTGCACAGCAGCTGAGGCCCTCTGGGCAGGGCCCCCTGCACAAGGCGGGGCCCCATGCAGCCTGCATGATTGGCCTGTAGGGAGGGGCGGCCCTGGTCAAAAGTATACTATTACTCCACTACATTTATTTAGCACCTTTAGTTGAAATGAAGTATGTATGTGATATTGAAGTGCAGAGCATGGAAACTTATTTCATGGCTGAATATTCAGCAGCACACACGTCACACTGGAATCACTTCCTACTTATTTTAGTGGCACTTTGACCTTTTAAAGCAGCAGCATTTTCACTTATTTAATATCCAAACCACGTCCACAAAACAATATGAATTACTTGTCTCCGCCTGCCCAACGGGAACTTTGATTTCACACTGTGAACTTTTTAAGCTGTTTTGTTGGAGTTTACTACGATCATTTGTCATGTAGAAAGTATACATTAATATTAAAAAGGGGCGTTTCATTTAAAGTATAAAAAAAGTATATAATTACAAAAGCAGAAGTATAGTGCAGATAAAGTGAAAAGAATACACTTACATATAAAAAAAAAGAAGAAAATAACCAAGTATGCGCACGTTATTAATAATAAAAAGCAAGTAAACCACCATACAGCAGATGAGAACACCATGTTAAAAAAATACATATATGTTAGGAGGTATCTGTTACTGTTTGCCAATTGTAACTAAATCAGATCAACAGGCCGCTGGTCTGACCCGTAGACTGGGTGATTCCGGCCCAGCGGAACGTCCAATCAATAGAGTATCGAACACAGCAGCAGCTAGTGGAAAGCTCATTAAAAGGCTAGTGATATTAATTGGGTTGGGGGTCTGACAAGGGGGGGGGGGGGGGCTCTGGTTTACCCCCCCTGATAATGACCATCAGGATACATTAATCGGGTCAGAGAGGCCAGACGGTGTTAACATAGGGATGTGTAAGTCCTTTATTTTTGGTTCCAGCATGACCTTATATCCTCAGCTATGACACACAGGAAATAAAGTCTAAAAAAGTTCAAAGTCAGAGTGTCAATTCTGATTTGCATAAGAGTTTCATTTTTGTAATAATAAGCCGCTTTCACACCAAGTACTTTGCCGTACTTAGTTCCCAGCACTTAGTTCCCAGCCAGTGGCGGTTCTACAGGGTGGCACGGGGTGGCAGCTGCCACCTCAGAAAAATGCCTTGCCACCCCAGCTGCCACCTCAGTTGGCAGCTTTGCTTTGAAAAAAAAGGTTGTGGCTCATCGGACATTTATGAGAGAAAATCTCTAATGTCCGAGTGCAAGTGAATGCAGCACAAGGCGCAAGCCTTGTAACCCCTCCCCCGGCCCTGGAACGAGCGTGGAAATATTATTGGCGGCGATTTCATTTGAACGGCGCAAAACGAGAAGCATTTCGGATCCAAGTAGACGGAAGGAATGAGGTATTCGCGGTCAGTGGCGGCGCCAGGGTATGGCTGGGGTAGGCTACAGCCATACCAAGAAATGGCTTAGCCACCCCACCATGAAAAATGATGTTAAGGTAAGCAAAATAAAGTCCGCCAACTCGCGGAGTAAATTGCACAGACAGCACTTAATAAGATTGATTTCAGTAGCCACTTGTTTGGAAATACCGAAGACTAGAAACGGTTTTGAAAAACTTTTGTCACGTAGTGATCGTCTTCTCAATAGAACATTTTTGATAATGTCTTCTGGCCAATCAGAATCAAGATAACGGCGTGGTGTTGTTGCAGGTGTTGTTTTTCTTCTTTGTGGGGTTCTGCCCCCAAAAACTGTTTCAAGTCCTGAGAAAGTCAAATAAGACGGTGTGTAAAACTACACTGCCCAGCCCAAAGAAAGTAACCACTTTGATTTAACTAGGCCAGTAGGTAAGGACTTTCATTACATTACATTGCATTTAGCTGACGCTTTTATCCAAAGCGACTTACAATAAGTGCGTTCGTCCAACAAAATACAACTTGAAGAAAACAGAATCATATAAGTACATCAGGTTTCATAGAGCAAAAACATTTCAAGTGCTACTCAACTGGCTTTAGAAAAGCCAGTCCTTTATTAGTATAAAAGTGCTTATAAAAGTGCTTCGTTAATAGTTCTATCGCTCGAAGTGGAGTCGAAAGAGATTTCCACTGGATAATAACTGCAGCGATGTTTATGTTTTAGCTGAATACACGTTTTTTAACCCTAATTGATGCAGTTAGTCACTTCTTTAATGTTTGTTCTTTCTGATGTAAAGTCAAGGTTGTAACTGCTTGCAATGAAGTTGTGGGGCGCTGAACTGTTCTTTTGATTCTTTTGATTTATGATAGTAATTACTTGTCTTTCAAATTTGAAGGAGGGTGAGCAAGCATCTTGAGGAACATTCATCATTATCTCCTCCAAAAATAGTTTATTTAATAATAACACTGAATATGTGAATCATAACAGTGATTGACAGCTGATAGGAATAATATGATTGTTTAATATTATCATATTCATACAGACAAACATCGATGAGACAGTTAATTAATGTACTTATTGCAGCAGTCTGCATTGATTTGGTACCCCTGCTGGTCTAAGAGTGAGACAAACTCATTCAGTTATTGTCTAGTTAAAATTCATTAAATGATGTGTGCCACCTTATATTTATATGTAAGGCTTTACTGATGTGCCACAATAATGTCACCTAATGTTATTGAGTTAAAATATCAATGTTGTGGCTTTCCAAGTTAACATTGATTGATATGACTGCGATTAAATCAGCATATACTTCTGCCAGGGGATGCCACCCCTGAAATTCTCCTGCCACCCTCTTGCCACCCCATGGATATTTTTCTAGATCCGTCCCTGTTCCCAGCACTTAGTACCCCCATGGAACTAAGTACAGATCACACCGGAATAAGTCCCTGAGGGAAGATTACGCAAATGAAGCCGCTGACGTCACTTCTTCTTCTGCTTTGGGTTTACTGGCAGGCCGCAAACAACTTCACGGTGTATACTGCCACCCGAAGTCCCCGGCCGGAAGTCCCCCGGAGTTGGGGACTGGCTTCAGTAGAAGCTGCTAGGACTCCCAGCAGCCTTCCGAGTAAATCGCCAGAACACCGACACCTCCTCATCACTCCACCGCTCCCATATTTTTTTTGTGTGCCATAGGTTAGTCTCTCTCTGTCGGTGCGCGGGGCTAATGCTAATAATGCTAATGCCAGCAAATACAATGGCGGCTTCAAAAATACTTTTCAGAGTTTTACGGGGCCTGGTTTGCAATTCGCCCAGCCAATCAGAAATGGGTACTTTTTTCTCCCCAGGATAGTCCCACCTCTCTAGCAGGCACTAAAAAGTGGGTAAAAGTTCTCTGAACTAAGTTCTCTTTTGGTGTGAACGCAAAATTCCAGGCACTAACGGAACTAAACGGGAAAAGTACGGGTAAAAGTACTCCGGTGTGAAAGCGCCTATAGTCTAATTAGTCTTCCCTAGCAGACTGAAAACCCATCTGTCTCCACTGCACCTTGGCCAATAGAAGAAACGGTTCTATCTTCTCAACATTGCCGTATATTGGTTTGGTTTATTGAAAGCTTATGAACTTGTAGGAGTTTTGCTTTTTTGAGTCAAGTCCCTTTCGATAAGATCAGTGTATTCATGAAATAAAGGTGAGCAGAGGGAGGCAGGGGTCAGCGGGGGCTCACCTCAGGGATAGGGCCCTCCCCTCCAGCGTGCTCCGGTCCTCGCTATGCTGCGGGCTGTCCTCTGGGGTCTGCAGGCTGCTGCTGTCCCTGTGTCTCTCCCCGGTCAGCTGGCAGTAGATGTCCAGCAGCCGATCAGACACCACGGTCAGCTGAGGGTACCGGCCCACCAGAACCTGCAGAGAGGGGGTCAGCACATTTCTGAGTCATGCCAACGTCTGTTATAGTGAACATTTAAGGAATGAGGACATCATTATAATAATCAATGGAATTATAAACAAAAGTAGCCTGTTTCTATGGTTTATATGTTAGCATGCATTTTGCATGTTAGATGAACTTCTACATAAAAACATCAGCTGGGAGCTTTTAAAATAATGTTCTATGGTTATTAACAATCAACATATACTGTAGGTGAGGGAAACAAGTTTCAAGATTTACATGAGAAAATCCAACCTAATCTTTTTTTATCTCACTGAATTAAGTATTGTGCAGTTAGCAGTAGAAAGGGCAATCGGAAACAAAGCCAAAATCATATTTCATATCCGTCAAACAGCACTTCTTCTGGACCGACAGTCCAGTTTCAACCATTAGTGGAACATAAGTTCCTTTTCTTTTAACTTATATAAATTAGGGCTGTCAAAGTTAACGCATGTGATTGATCTCGAGACTTTAACGCGCACTATTTTTAACTCAAATTAATCATAGTATCCAGTTCAGACGGTACCTCCCTCAGTATTTCCAGCGTGCATGTTACCCTGGGAATTAACTAAGAGGCAGGCACGTTAAACTAACAGGAGGACCGAGGAGTAGGGTTGGGTACCAAAATCCGAAATGTCGATTCCATCATGATCGTTTAGAAATATTAGTTTCGGTTACTATCCCGGTTATCGATTCCTAAGTAAATGCATCTCAACGCTTTCTGTACTGTTAGACGGGGCGGGGCGGGACCAAGCGGCAAACTCTGGGGCAGAGCCGGGAAGCCCATAAGGAAGTGCCTCAAACTGCAGTTCATCTATTGGCCGATGGGGGATGACTGCAGAAAGGAGCAATTTCCATAGACCCCCATGTTAAAATACCCAACTTTACAGCAGAAATAAACATGTTTCTACCCCTAAATGCATTACAAATTATTCTGGATATAGTTAGATTCCACCTTCATGATTACGGATTGGGGAGTGCATTTTTTTATAACGCACCCCTTTTAGTTATATTAGGTCTTAACGTTTTTGCATAAAGGGTAGTGTTGTCACGATACCCTGGAGCGAGTAGTCTACGCCCAGCTGCAGTCATTTTTAACCACGCATGGCATCCATGAAAAATTTCAGTCTGGCTTTAAACCTATGCATAGTACTGAAACAGCCCTTTTAAGAGTTTTCAATGATCTGCTCTTAGCCGCCGACTCAGGCAACCCAGCTGTCTTGGTGCTGTTAGATTTAACTGCTGCCTTTGACACTGTGGCTCATAGTATCCTGTTGTCACAGCTTGAACAGTCCACAGGCATTACAGGCTCTGCCCTTGCATGGTTCAGGTCTTATTTGACGGACCGTAGCTTCTCAGTGCAGTTAGGTGCCTTCTCCTCTGCCAAAGCCCCTCTTACCTGTGGGGTTCCCCAAGGCTCGATTCTGGGCCCCATCCTTTTTCTATTGTATATACTGCCCCGAGGTTCAATTCTCACAAAATATAATATCCCCTTCCATTGTTACGCTGATGATGTACAGATCTCAGTGGATGTCTGCTCACCACCTCAAGCTCAACCTTGACAAGACTGAGCTGTTCTTCCTCCCGGGAAAAGATTGTCCCACTCTTGACCTAACAATCAACATCGGCACCTCAGTTGTTTCCCCGACTCAGACTGCAAGGAATCTGGGTGTGACCCTAGATAACAACCTGTCCTTCACTGCAAACATCGCTGCTACAACCCGTTGCTGCAGATACACGCTTTACAACATCAGGAAGATACGTCCCCAGCTGACTCAGAAAGCGACTCAGGTTCTGGTCCAGGCTCTCGTCATCTCACGCCTAGACTACTGCAACTCCCTCCTGGCTGGTCTACCTGCATGTGCCATCCGACCTCTGCAGCTCATCCAGAATGCAGCGGCTCGTCTGGTCTTCAACCTTCCTAAATTCTCCCACACCACTCCGCTCCTCCGCTCCCTTCACTGGCTTCCGGTAACTGCTAGAATCACTTCAAGACACTGGTACTTGCTTACCATGCTGCGAATGGATCTGGCCCTTCCTACATCCAGGACATGGTTAAAACCGTACACCCCAGCGCGTGCACTACGCTCTGCATCAGCCAAACGACTCGTTGCGCCCTCGCTGCGAAGGGGGACCCAAGTTCCCATCGGCGAAAACACGTGGGTTTGCTGTCCTGGCTCCAAGATGGTGGAATGAGCTCCCCATTGACATCAGGATGGCAGATAGCTTGCACATCTTCCGGCGCAAACTGAAAACTCATCTCTTTCGACTCCACTTCGAGCGTTAGAACTATTAACGAAGCACTTTTATACTAATAAAGGACTGGCTTACCTAAAGCCAGTTGAGTAGCACTTGAAATGTTTGGCTCTATGAAACCTGATGTACTTATATAATTCTGTTTTCTTCAAGGTTGTGTCTTCCTGGTCGAATGTACTTATTGTAAGTCGCTTTGGATAAAAGCGTCAGCTAAATGCAATGTAATGTAATGTAATCTATCTGCCTCTCAATCAAAATGCCAACTCACTACAGCAGTTGAAGGACTGCTTAACAGAGATTAAATCCTGGCTGAGCCAAAACTTCCTCACCCTCAATGAGAGCAAGACCGAGGTCATCTTTTTTGGACCTCAACCAACAGTCTCCCCGGTTGATATTCTGGGCTCCCTCAATAAAAATATCCTACCCTCTGTTATGAACCTTGGAGTGACCTTCAACAGCGCCTTTAAATTTGATAAGCAGGTTAGCATTGTAGTCAAGACCTGCTTTTTCAAAATACGACTATTGGCTAAGACCAAGTCGTTTTTATCTTTTAAAGATTCGCAGCGGCTGGCCCTAGGCTCTGGAATACTTTGCCCCTCCATGTGAGGTCGGCCCAGACCCTGTTTTATTTTTTAAATCAACACAAAAAACTCACTTTTTCTCTCAGGCTTTTGTTTAATTATTTATTTATTTATTCATTTAGTTCTTTATTTTAATATTTATAACATAACATAGGATTTCATAAAGTATTTTTAAAATAGTTTATACATTATTCGAATATAGGAATAGTAGATAGGATTACTTAAAATATAGTACCTTATATTTAATCTTTTTTCCCTTTAGACCTTTGCGGTTTATTCTTAAAAACCCTTACCCAGCAGTAGCGTGGCGTGGGGAAAAATGTAGGGGAAGCCCATTTTTTGGGTCGGGGGGTGGTCAATAACGTAACCAGATGAGTGATTACAGCGCCCGGTATCATTTGACACACATTTGTATCACACAGATGCAGGACTTGCACACGCCTGTTATCTAACCGACAGGTCCGCACGCACTCTCCAGCTGAAACTCTCTCCTTATTAATTTAAGCATTTTACTTATTAATGTATGCAGACAATCACACAATCTATGTGATTTTTGGATTTACCGTGCCTCTCAATTGCCCGTGACAGGTTGGCAAGGTCGATGAATCCTGAAGTTGCCCAAGGATTGTTCAGGGAGCACGAATCCTTGTCAAAAAGAAGACATGGCCAGCAAATTAGACGCTGAAGTTTAGCGCTTCCAGTTAGCCACTCCGTGCGGACATAATTGTCCTCATTGAACGTCCGATTCTCTCCCTTTTTCCTCTGCGTACACACAGCTCGAGTGCGGGCATTTGCCTGTCATCTGATTTAATTTGTAGTTGCTGCTGTAGCGGAAGTTTAGTAAAGTTATGTTTGATTAAGTACGCCAAATCTCCACCCTCCATAATGCTTCATTTGCTTGATAATTTCTAACGGCGGTGATGACAGTTACAGTATTAAAACTGATGTTGATGTGATTTGATTGGATGGCAGTGTCCAATCAAATCGCCAGCCGCCAGCCGCCTCTGAAGGGAAGCAAGAGGCGGCTAGCTTCCCTTGGCATGGCCCTGACCAATCACAGGTTGGCAGGGGCATCACGTGGGCCTCATCTGATTGGTCAATCCCTCCATTTTTTTTCACCAAGGGAAGCTAGATTCGGCTGGCCTCCTCTCGCAACAGGGAGTGCAATCTACTGTTTCACCATAACATCTAGAGGAGCGCTGTTTGTTTCACTCTTTGTAAAATACTCAATGAGAATGGGGGAGAGCCGGGCCGGCAGCAACACACAGCAAAGGAGAATTATCGAAACAAAACAAAGTGTTTGTATTTATTTATTTAAATTATAACTACAATCCGAAAAAACAGGGGAAGCCTGGCTTCCCTTGGCCTCCGGGAGAAAACGCCACTGTTACCCACCCCCCATTTTCCCTCTGCTGGTCTATGGCCTTGTAGAGGGTAACAGGGTACAGAGTCGCTTAGATAAGCGGGGGAGTGCATCTGACGAAGAGATAGGTTCTTGTGCTCCCTATCTCTGTTTCTTATCCTATATCTAATAGAACTGCTCGGGTCTTGATAGATTGAGTGGGGAAGTTTCATGAGATCTTTCTAGAGGGTTATCAAGAATAACTTTTATCCAATGACCTTTTCCCTCTCTGTCTGTGTCTGTGTATTCTCTTGTTCCGATTAACCCAGCCAAATCTTTTTTCTTGTTTTGTATCTATATCTACGCCGGGATTCGGAGTCGAGGCCGATCCTCTTGCTGTAGTCCTGTGTCTTGGATCCTCTATCCTGAGTTCTGGATTAAGTCGTGGACTTCGGGTCGTGGCTGAACCTGTCTCTGCGGTCCTGCCTTGGGTCTCGTCATGCTGCTTCCCTGATGGCTTCCACAGGATTGTAGCTGACATCCTCGTGGATTCATCTTCTTATTACAGACACATGCATTTCCTAACATTCGGTCTATATGCTGTAAAATGTATTATCTCTTTGATTTACACACGGCATCTATTGCACGTCTGTCCGTCCTGGGAGAGGGATCCCTCCTCTGTTGCTCTCCCTGAGGTTTCTCCCACTTTTTCCCCTTAAACTGTGGGTTTTCTCTGGAAGTTTTTCCTTGTACGATGAGAGGGTCTAAGGATAGAGGGTGTCGTTTTTCTCATACTGAT